ACAGGTTTTATCTCATTTAACTCTGACACTTGTTATAGGAATAACCACAATCAAGTGTAACTTATGATCTGTTCAATTTGTGAAAATAAATGATTGCATAGTCTTTTATGAATCACCTTGAACTCGTCTGAACGTTCACTTATTGTGTCACTTTTCAGTTCGCACAGTCAAGATATTAACAAGTAATGAGAAATACCTTGGTAAAAGTTTCCTCATAACCTTGTGTATGAGAGGTGGGAAAAGCTTAATTCACTCTAAGCTCACCTCCTACATTTTAGTGCATGTTTTTCCTCTTTAATGTGCCGTACATAACAGACGTCAGTCCGTCTTTCTGCTGCTTCCTCACCTCGTTTCTCTTGGTCACCCGTCTGGCCACAATCAGCTGGATCATCCCCCGTTTGTTGCCTTCTGTCGACATGGACTTACGCAGCGTCTCCATGGCGTCCTGGTTGGTTTTGCCCAAAAGGGATTCCCCGTTGACGGCGATCAGCTGATCGTTTACCCTCAGCCGCCCGTCCTTTAGGTGAAAAGGGGAAAAATGCTTCAAAAGTGTAGCTTAAAGTGAAAAATAAAACTGATTTAACGACAAAGGAAATACAGACTCTAAATAAAAACACACTCACACAGACTTCAGCACTAACATTACTCAGGTCTTTAATAATTAAAGAAGGTACTGTACTTTGAAGGCTGCGCCTCCGTTGATGATGGATTTGACAAAGATGCCCAGATCTGCATGGTTTTCTTTGGAACGGTTTCCTTTGACGCTGACGCCCAAACCAGCTGAACCCGAGTCACTGAGCGGGATCTCGAAGGTCAGAAACTCTCTGGTCCCGTCGGGGGTCAGGACCAACTCATCCTCCTCCGTTTTCTGCACCAGAAAAAACAAATAAAAATTACTAAAGAAATGGCATTTCTCGCAAAAATGCAGTGTGAAAGCTGCTGAAATCAAGCTGAAAAGGTTTAGTATCAAAACTGCTGAGTTAAATCTGAACACTTGAGTTTTGTTGAAAGTTGGAAAACGGAAAGTGAAAAATCAGTAGAAAGAAAGTAAAAGAGACAAAAATCTGAAAGGAGGTAAAAGTAGCTAAAATTAGCAAAACCAAGCTAAAACTAAATGAAATACGTTTAAATTAACAGACGGGAAAATGAGAGGGACATTCTTCAAATAAGCAACAAACATAAAATATACACAAGAACTTCTAATTAATTTTGAAATAGCTAAAAAAAAAGATGAAACCAGTCTAAAAATTGCTGAAAAAGTAGCTGAAATTTGTACAGAGAAACAGAAAGAGCACGTTTAATGAATTAACTCAATTCAGTTAAATTCAAATTCAAAAATACGTTATTGATCCCAAAGGGAAAATACAGTCTTAAAC